GCCAGAAATCTGTCTGAAATGGTATAGGATTTCCTGCCTGAGCAGGGGGTTGGACTAGATGACCTCGAAGGTCCCTTCCAACTTTATCATTATTATTATTGTTGTTATTATCTCCTAAGAAGCTTTTGTGGCTGAAGGTGGACATCAATTGGGGATCTTTTGTGTCAGCCCCAACACTTAACTACGGGTAGACAAACCCAATTCCAGCAACCGTTCTTCATATGTTTTAGCCTCCAGTCCCCTGATCATCTTTGTTGCTCTTCTCTGTACTCTTTGTAGAGTCTCAACATCTTTTTTACATCGTGGTGACCAAAACTGGATGCCTTATTCCAGGTGTGGCCTTACTAAGGCCTTGTAAAGTGGTATTAACGCTCCAGGTGATTTTGATTCTATTCCTCTGTTAATGCAGCCTAGCACCGTGTTGGCCTTTTTGGCAGTTGCAGCACACGGTTGGCTCCTATTGAAGGGATTGTCCACTAGGACTCCGAGATCCCTCTCAATCAGGGTCGACCGATGTGAGGGTTGTGTGGTAGGAGGGTGTGAGAAGAATCCAGAGAAAGAAATATTTGGGGGGATATTAAAAAGGCAGAATATATTTCCCCAAAGGAATAATGGAGAAGATCTTTAAAAAGGCAGAAACCTCTACACACACACACACACACACACACACACACACCAGCCAGACCACTCAGCAGAAACCAGCTTTTAGAAATGCAGATGTAATAATCCATTCAGGAAGATTGGAGCCCTCCAGCTAGAAGTTGAAGAGATTAGGAAGACAAAGACCCTTAAAATCTACATATCCCACCCAAACTTATTGCATTCTTTGACCAAGTGACAAAATTAGTGGATGAGAGGAATGCTGTGGATATAATTTACTTGGACTTCAGTAAGGCATTTGACAAAGTACATCACAACCTACTACTTGACAAGATAGAAAAATGTGGGGTAGACAGCATCACCACCAGATGGATCCGTAGCTGGCTGACCGGCCGTACTCAGCGAGTGGTCCTCAATGGAACCACATCTACATGGAGGGAAGTGTGTAGTGGGGTGCCCCAAGGCTCTGTTCTGGGCCCAGTGCTCTTCAACATCTTCATCA